TAACACCCTGGGAGAAGACTAGGATTGTACAGCCTGCAACGCGGCACGGAGCTGGTCTTTACGAAAGTATTTAGCTCATGTTACAAAAGTTAAGGAAAGCTAGCCAGGTTTTTTCAGGGGCACCAGATCCATCCTGTAAGCGCCACTGGTTTCAAGATGAATTGTTCCTCTCGCACACACACCATTAAAATCAGCTGACCCTCCTTCAGTGAGATCTGTCCCAGTGAATTATAAAATCTACAACTCTGCAGTTTCACTTCACATCAGTTAAATCTGTTCCTCCCCCGTGAAGCCCCCAGCTAATCCTTCACCAGCTAGACCCCATGGAGCATGTTTGCTTCACTGCATGTCAAGGGGACATGACCTTATGTATAACCAATTCATTTTTGTTTATCTACCTCTTAGTGACAATAGAATTAAAAATAGGTAGTGGCAACTCCACAGGCTGTAGTGTAGAGGAAAAAATTACTCTCTTTTTCCAAAGAAAAAAAAAAGTTCTTTAAAAAAAATAGAATTTATGGGCTTTCTTTTCACTTTAACGTGTTCATTAGTCGTAAAAGTTCCAAACTTCCGCAGTGCTAAATTGTTCAATTGTGACTAATTTTTTTGAAATGCTCACTCTTCCATTACTTTCCCCCCCTTTTTAACTTTGCTATTTACTTCTGTCAGCAGTGCAACTTCTCTTCGCTCTTCTTTCTCGGTGTACGATTTGGCCGTGGGATGGCTGGTCACTTTCCTGTAGGCTGGCGTTCAATTGCCGTTCGGACCAATTTGCCTATAGCAGCCCCTTTGCCTTTAAAACTGGCAAGCGTCTGGAGGTGGGGTGCTAGCTGGAGGAGTCGGGTCAGCGTGGGCTAACAGCAGAGCAGCTAGGGCAGGATTATAAAAGCAACAACCAAACAAGAATGGCTTGTGGGTCGACCGTGACTCCTTACACCATCATCTGAGAGTCAGGACAGGCCGATTGATCCCGAGAGGTAGACTTAATCCCCGCTGCAGTTATCCTGGTTTTGAAATCCCCAGTCAGCTGCCGTGTTGTTCTGTACTCCCTCGGGGGAGCCGGGGGGGCCACGGAACAGCTCGTTCACCAGAGCGATTTACTCCAACAAAATTGTAAGTGGGTGGAGCAAAAGGCGCTTTTGCCCTGCCCCCCGGCACTGACCCCATGCGTGTTCAGACTCTGCCTGGAAAAGTTGTACTTTACTGTCATGATCCGGTTCCTCCCTTCAGTTGCTTGTTGAATTTTCTCTCTATCTCCCCGCCTCCCCCTTTTCTGCTCCATGTCCTTGACCTTGTACTCTGGGGAGACAGGCTGAGTGGCGCAGCTCTGGAGTTTGTGAGGACGGATGGACATGGGCTCCATTTTGCTTCCAGCTCGGGTTTGCCACAAACCGCTTGACTCCACTGTTTCATTTTTAAAAATAAAGCGCAAAAAAAAAAAGTTACACAGCCTCCGTGTGTTTAATCTCCGCTGTTAGGAGAAACCCAAGTGGCGAGGGTAGGGCCCGATTAACTCTTCTGGGGCCAGAGGCTATTACATTTTGGGGGGCCCCCAGCTTTGGGGGCCCCCAGCTTTGGGGGGGAGCCAAAAATGAGGGTTTCAGAGTGGGGGGGGCTGTGGGTTGAGGCAGGAGAGAGTGAGGACACTGATTAGGGTGTGAGGCTGGGGAAGAGGGATTAGGGGTCCAGGAGGGGGCTCAAGGCTGGGATGCCGGAGGAGGCTGGGGGGCAGGGATATAGGCAGGGGTTGTGGGGGCGTGGGCAGGAATGTGGGAGGGTTGGGATGCTGGACGAGGCTCAGGGCTGGGAGTGCAGGAATAGGGCAGATGGCTCTGTGTGCTGCCCAGCACTTGTGTGCAGGCACCACCTCCTGCAGCTCTCATTGGCAGCAATTCCTGGCCAATGGGAGCTGTGGGGGGCGGAGCCCAACACATGGAAGGGCTTCCTGGCGCTTGTGGCTGGGGAGGCAGGAA